TTATATATAAATAAAATAAAAACTAAAAACGCGGCCTAACTGGTTGGACCAGTTCGACCAGCCATCCATTGACAATGTCGAGTCGGTGTCCGATCCAGTTTTCAAAACGTTGATTATAACAATGATTAATACTCTCTCTGTTTCAAAATGTAAGTTGTTTTACTTAAAAACAAGCATATTAAGAAACTACTTTTTTACTAAAGAGTATCATTTTATATATCTAATAAAAATAATTTGACCAATCATATAAAAGATTGCAAAATATTAGTGGTCACACAATATTCAATAAAGTTAAAAAGTACGTAGTATTGTCAAAACAACTTATATTTTAAAACAAAAATAACTAAAATAACTTACACTTTGAAATAGAGGGAGTATAATTTTAGTAACAGTATATTTGAATGTGTTATAAAAAACATTACATTTTAGAGGTGAAACTAGGAGTAAATCGGAGATCATGTCTTTACTCAAAACATTTTTGTGCAATTTTAAATTAATATGTATACCGACTACAAATTCCATATGGGTTATATTATGAATTATAGTTTTTAATGGTCATTTGCCTAATTTTCCTGAAAGAAAAAAACCTTTTTATCTTCTTCTTACTTTTTCACGTCAACAAAGTATGTAATGTATTAACCATTTAACCTTTAATGTGGGCGGGAAATAATTATGTTATTTAATGTCATTCAATCATTCATATTAACTATACTATTAATTGGATGAGTCATCCCCAAAGTCTATTGGTGTGTCCCCTCCATGTGACTAGTGAGGCGAGCAAAAATATCACATTCTTTAATTTCATTAATCGTTGTCCCAAGTCAACACAATCTCACTACAATTCACACACTCAGAACTCAGAAGCCTCCTAAGATTCTACATTATTAATTTTATCTTAGCATGAATATATGGTAATTTGTCGTTTTTGATTCCCAAGTTTCTTTATATGATTATATCAAATTGGTCACCTACACAATAGTGCTTCTTCTTTTTCACGTCGGTCACAACTTGTGGTTCCTTTTTTTTTTTTTTTKTCAACAAATTCATTTCTTCACATTCTGATGTTGGGTGGAATAAAAGAAAAAAACGTAACTGATACTTATGACAGATAACAGCATGGAAAATCGGAGACACCGTAGAAAATGAAAAGACTACAACACAGTAGAAATTGGAAAAGAAGATTTTATCACTTTTTATCAACATTCTTGACATATTCAAACATAACAGCATCAGATGGTAAAGATAGTAGAGTGGCCAATAGGATAGCAAATGTGACACAAAAAGTTTGTTCGTCACACAAAGATGTCATTTTAATTTGGGATGAATTTGGTGAATAACCAACAAAAAAATTATAATTCAATAATTAAAAAAAAAGTGCATATGTGGCAAAATTTAAGCCATTGGATTTTCAAAAATTAATTAGTTATTAAATTATAATTTTTTTTGTTGGTTATTAGTGCTAATTTCTCTTTAATTTGTTTGTTCGTCAAAAAAGTGTCACGCTTGATCCACTAAAAAAACTACATCTCGTAGTTATGGTATCAACTCGATTTTTTGTCGAAAAAAAAAGAAACTCGATTTTTTATTTGTTTTATACGCGATCACTTTTTTTTTCTTTGTCAACAGACGAACCACTTTTTTTCTCAAAAAAAAAAACATATGAACCACTTTATTTCCAACTTGTTAAGTATACGAATCTTCCATTTTTTATTAAAACTATTATTTATTAAAACTATATATTGTCTGCGTTGCATGAATTTCAAAATTAACATGGCAAAATAGAAAATTAATTCAAATTTATTGATTATTTGTGTATATAATACTACAAAAAGTTATTATTGTAATAAATAATTATCTAGGTTAGAAGATTAAATGTTTAGAACAAATTATTTGACATATACAATGTTATATGTGAAAAATAGATTGTTCATTAATAAAACTACAGCGCATATATATGAAAGATATATTATTTTGCACAAATACGCAATTTGTATGTCTTAATCAATATTCATTACGGTTCCCTAAAAAAATGATTGGTCGTTTTTTTTCTTGCATCAAATACGTTTCCAAAAAAATACTGTTCAGACAAGTTGTAGTATGTTTTGCTTGTATCGAGACATGCATCATCTCAATAGGAATGCTGGAATGCATCTTTGTGTTTTATTTCGTTAAAACTTTACATTGTAAAGAGAGAATAATTGATGGTTTATTGTTTTTGTCTCTCTTTTTATCCCTTTAGTCCGATTTTTATCTTTCACATCGATTCATTGGTGAATTATTATGTTTTTTCTGGATTCACAATTTGTAATGGAGTAAGGTTTTCTTTCGAGATGATTGACAACTTTTGCATTCTAACAACCTTAAAATTCCTAAAATCACTAATTAATTTTTTTACACAAGTTTTTTTGTTAATGTTACGATTTTTTTAAGCTTTTTGTGATTTTTTGTCTTAAAATCGTAGTTACCTATCTAAATTTTTAAATATTTTTGTATAGTCTATTTTTGGTTTTAATAAATAAAATATATAATTTTAAACCGTTAAAAGTTTAAAATAATATATTTAATTTGAAATTATAATTTTTGGTGGATATGAAAAAAAGAAAAAAAGATAACGGTTAAAATATTATTGGTTTATTATACTGAAATTGATCATCTTTATGTTACACTTTAATTTTTGAAACTAATTTACATTAGACTTAGCTATCAAATAGTAGAAATTAATTGTTAAAGTTATTAAAAATACTTAATTTTGTTTTTTCAATAAATAAATCAAAAAATAAAATGATTCATGATTTGGGTTTAGAAAAATATTAAAATATTTTTGGAATTAACTAACATTAGAATTAGTTATTAAATTGTAAGAATTAATTATTAAATTTATTAAAAACAATTTTTTTC